CTGTACAACCACTTCCAATCAATAATGTTAATGTTATTAACATAAGGGACTAAGGACCATGTAGCATTTTTTTGAAGCGCTTGAAACTCCTCAATCATGGCAAGGCGCCACTTAGGAGATTTATTGGCAACAATAAAAGGAATAGGGTTCAGTTTGGGAAGTAGATGAACGGGTGGAAGTATATACAGATGGATCAAATCGAGAGGTACATGTAGGATTTTGTTGAAGATTAGAATGTCGAGACCGAGGAGGAGGTGGGGCGTAGGGGATGGAGTAGAGAAGATGAGTGTGTGTGAGTGTTTATAGAGTTAGAGTGGGCTGTGGAAACGGGATCGAGGTCTACAATGGGAGGTGGTGTAGGAAAGACAGAGGTATAAGGGGTAGTAAGTGAGGTGGGCGGTTGTAGTGGTGAAGAGTGAAACGGGAAAACATGTTCATTGAAACAAACATGACAGGATATGTATATTCATTCGGTTGTAGGATCAAAACAACGATAGCCATGGTGGATAGGACTATAGCCAAGAAAGACACATGACGTGGAACGAAAATCAATCTTGTGACAGTTATAGGGACGAAGGTAAGGAAAACATTGATAACCGAATACACGAAGAAATAACTAGTCCGGTTTTCGGTTGTAGACTTATTGAAAGGGAGATTTATTTGATGTGATTCTAGATGGAAGACGATTTATAAGATATACAAAACTTTCAAAAGCAAAGTGCCAGAAGCATTGTGGGAGATAGGATTGGGCAAGTAAGGCAAGACCTGTTTCCACAACATGGCAATGACAACGCTCAACAATTCCATTTTGTTCGCTGGTATGAGGACAATAAAGTTGATGAATGATGCCAAGGTTTGTGAAAAAGGAAGTAAGAGGACGAAATTCTCCTCCCCAATCAGTTTGTACACTTTTGAGTCTGGTGTTGAATTGTCGTTCAACCATGGTAGTGAAGTTTGTAAATGTAGAGTAAACATCATACTTATATGCAAGTGGGTAAAACCACATGTACCTAGTGTAATGATCAAAACATAAGAGAAAGAATTTATGACCATCAAATGAGACCATGGGGGAGAGTCCCCAAACATCACAATATACCAAATCCAAAATTTTATTACTGTGAAAAGTAGAGTTGCGTAATGAGAGTTTAGAAGATTTGCCCGACTGAAAAGAAGTACATAAAGAAGGACTAAGTTTTGTAGAAATTGGTAAAGAACAACCAGAGGCAATAGAATTAAAAACACGTTCGTATGGATGGCCGAGGCGTTGATGCCAAGTGATAGATGAAGCTTTGGTGGCTGTGAAGGCAAGCTTGGGAAGAGACTGGAGTTGTGGAAGACGAAGTGGGTAGAGCCCGTTAGTACTTGGTCTCGAAAGGAGGATATTGTGGGTTGCCTCATCCTTCACAACAAAGAAAGAAATGTGAAATTCAAAATAAATATCATTGTCATGACAGAACTGTTGAACAGATAAAAGATTCTTTTGAATTTGAAGAACATGGAGAATATTTGTAAGATTAAAAGTTTTGTTAGGGGAAAAGTATTTTGAGGAACCAATATGAAAAATAGGAAGAGGGTTACCGTCATTAATAGAGAGTGATTCAGTACCATGATATGCTTCAGAGTTGTCAAGATTTGATAAGTCAGGAGTGGCATGACTATTTGCACCAGTGTCCGGGAACCATGTGGTTGCTAATATGGATCCAAAGTCTGAACAAGTTGCGATATTAGCTTGAGAGTTGGACATGTTAGGCTGATTTGGACACTAAGATAGTAAGTGACTTATACCACAAAGTGACTTATACCACAACGGTTGCAGTGACCGTACATAGTATTCTGAGCTGAGGCCCATTGAAATTGTCGAGTGTTCGAGTTGTCATGACCACGGTTATTTTGGTTACATCGTGAGTTTCCATGAAACTTGGCTCGACGGTTTTGGTTACCTCGGTTGTTTGATGGCCGAGAGACATAATGAGCTTGTGGAGTGTTTTGTAAACCCATAGGGTTTAGTTGATACCCTAATTGAGAGGCTAACAACTGCAAGTTGTTAAGTTGAGACTGGATAGCAGCTAGATCAGGTAAATGATTAGTAGAAATACCCCCGGTAGTAGTAGTGTATACCTGTGGTGGGGTGGTAATGGGTAAATAGGTTGATTTTGTTGATCATGTAGTCATGATCAGATAAGAGAGCATGAAAATCATTAAAGGTGACTAGTGGTTGACGTGCCAGAAGGTTTGATTTCAAACCATTGTACTCATTCCGTAATGGTAAGCATAACCAGGTCCTTGTCCTTCATAGATTCTCCAAAGTTGGCAAAAGATGATGCGTATTTCATTGCTCGACTGAGATAGGTAAGTGGAGTTTCGTCTCCTTTCATCTCTATTCAGAGTAGTTTTGTTTTTAATGAGTATTCACACGAGGCAATATTTGGTGCATATGCACGTTCTAAAGAGAGCCATATGTCTCTAGAAGTCTTACCTTGAACATGTTGAAAGGATGCCTCAAAGATGGTTGATAAAATCAGCATTCGAACATGTTCATCATTGGCAATCCAAGGAAGATAACTGAGGTTATCAGTTACTACATCTCCTGTTGTAACTTTCGGTTTAGGGCATTGAATGGTGTTGTCTACATAGCCAATCAGATGGTTGGTAATCAAGAATGGTTCAAGCATTGCCTTCCAGAAACCATAGTTTGTAGGAGAGAGGGTGAAAGAAAATTTATGAGTGTTGTGGGTTGTTTTCTCTGCAACAGTAAAGGCGACAACAACAGCCATATTTAGTTGATGGATTGTTGGTCGAAAGCAAGGAGTAAAGTTGTTGATCGGAAAAGTGAATGTCGATTAGGGTTGGAGGCGGCAAGAGGCTTCTTGGCTCTAATACCAAGTCAAGTCGTATATTGTGTTATTACTAAACAAGATTACATAGGATCTCTATATAAAGAGTAATAGTACATTCGACTACCCTCTATTTATTATGAATATAAATTTAAGTCTAACATCTACTAACTATGCAAGATCTGAAAATGAAAAGCTTGTCGTGGGTATAATTTTGGATAATGTGGGGTTTTGATCATTAGTGCTAACATGTCTTAGGGTCGCAAACCCTCTAATGAAGGTTCTTCAGAGGGTTGATTCAGACTCTAAGCCAGCCATTGGTTTCATTTACTAGTCATGGTAAATGCAAAGAATGAAATAAAAGCAAACTTTAAAGATGTTCAAACAAGGTATTCTCTTGTTTGTATATGTTTTTAGGTAAGAACCGATTCATGAGATCATTGATGAAAGATGGTATAATCAACTAAATAAGGCGCTCCATGTGGCAAATTACTACTTGAAGCCAATGATACGATACTACCTTGATTTTCAAAGTACAAGCTGGATCAAAGGCAAATTATACATGTGCCTCAAAAGAATTTGTGGTGATGATGAGAACCTAGTAAATACAACTGATTGTTTCATTAATACAAGAGGGTTCTAAGGTCTCAATGTAGCCATGTTAACAAGGGAAAAAGTTCAGGTGATTGGTGGGATTTGTATGGAGCTCACATACCTGATTTGAGAAAATTTTCCATGAAAATTTTGAGTTTGACATGTTCCTTATCTGGTTGTGAGAGTGAAATGCCTTTGAGATGGTAATTTACAACAACATTAATATTTTAATGCGACTTTTGTTATATCGTTATCTAATTTTTTAATCATTTCTTTATTTTGTTATATAGGTACATTCTAAGAGAAGTAATCGACTACATCAAGAAAAGAATAACGATCTTGTGTATGTGATATACAACCTAGAGTTGAATCAAAGAGATTAAAACAAAGGAGAAGAGCATGGTCAGGGGCAATCCAATCCGTAGTAGGTGTTTCCGGTGTCACATTTTATAGTAGATTTTTTTTACGTAGTGACACAATAAGTAAAAGAAAAAATTGAAATTTCCACTCCGTATAGGAAAAGCAGGTGTTGCCAGTGCAATTGCGGGCACCTAATGAAAACCGTCCTGAGCATGGTGGACTTGAAACATTAAATGTTGATGACGTTAGTTCTGATGGTCAGTGAATTACTATTACTGAAAAGGAATCTTCTGATCATCTTCAAATGAAGTATGGATGAACCATTTTGATGGTTGATGTTCAAGTTAGTTACAAGCTCTAAGCCATGTCGAGGAGATGATTATTTTGAAAGATCTATAAGAGATCAATTATGTGAGTTATTCATGTACTCCATACTTTTCAAATTGAGAATGATATTTTTTAGTTTTTTAGTTTTATATGTCATGTTTTCCTTTCGATGAATGTACAGTTGATGATGGAAGAAACTTAGGAGAAGATGATATTTTGAATTAGAAGAGGAGCATGTTATGGCTGTATCATTTGTTATGTTAGACTATATTAGATGTTATTTGTGTTATGACTATTTTTTGAACTTTTTATAACTTTTATTGATGGATATGTATTTTTCATGTTTTAAACTTATAATTATGTCATTTTCAGTGGGATCTTGGGATCCTAATCCGATCTTACGATCATGATTTTGCAAACATGAAAACAATTATATGTAGGATTTCGATCTTGACAACTTTGGTTTTAATGATATGGGTTTTACCCATGTAAAACAAAACCTTTTTGAGAAACTTGTTATAAGAGGTGAGTTTTTCCATATGAAATGTGTTTCCCATACCTTAAAATAAGTACACGAAACAAAACTAATATGGATTTATTAAAACTCATAACTGAGTGAATAATAAAAACAATACTTGATCAAATAGAAGATACCTATGGTCTAATTAATGTATTAATGTCGCACTAAAGAGCAAGTGATGAAAATCCTCTAAAGAAATAAAATATGTTGGATTCTATGAAACAAAATATGAACATCCCTAGATATTCAGAACGCTTAACAAACAGAATAAAAATACAAAATAACCGACCTTTACAGTTTACACCATTGCACTTAAAGGTTTTGTATACCTTATGATCCTTTGAGTAAGTTGAACGCCATTTGAATTAGATTATTATCTGGTCATTATTCTTTAAATGTTTTCCCATTATATCAAGCAACATATATATCTCTTTCGTTTGTTGGTGGGATTTATCCCCTTTTCTGAATTCATATGCCACGTCATCAACTTCAATCGAACTACAACCTGGACTCTTCTTGATCTTCCTTTCTTTCATAATCTTTCTCAACTTAAACGCATCCCTAAATCTGTTTTCAGATGAATACAAATTCGACATAAGTATAAAAGCACCATCTTTATCTTTATCTTTATCCATCATCTTATCCACTTTTTCCATCACCCTTTTTCCAATCTCAACATTCTTGTGGGTCCCACACGCCGCTAGTAATGCCCCCCAAATTAAACCATCAGGTTCTATATTCATATTTCGTATAAAATCCTCAGCTTCACTTAACAATCCAGCACGACCTAAAAGGTCAACCATACACCCATAATGCTCTTTTTGAGGTTTAATATTGTGGACTTTTAACATGTTAACAAAATGATTGAATCCTTCTTTTACAAATCCACAATGTGCGCAAGCCATTAGAACAGCTAAATATGTTACATCATTTGGTGTTATTCCTATTTTAGGCATCTCAGAGAAAAGTTTTAATGCCTTTTGTCCTTCTCCATGTATTGCAAACCCAAGTATCATGTTTGTGTATGTATAAACATCTTTATGTTTCATATGGTTGAAAACATAAGTGGCTTTCTTTATGTCTCCACATTTTGTGTACATATCTAAAAGTGCGTTTCCTATAAATCCATCTGTTTTAATCCCGTTTTTGTTGATGTAAGAATGTACCCATTTACCTTGTTTGAGTGTTCCTAAATTAGCACAACAATTGAGAACACCAACTAGAGTGATATTGTCAGGTTTGACTTTTTGACTTTGCATCTTTTTGAAAACATTCATTGCAATCTTGAACTTTCCTTGTTGAATTAGTCCTAGTATTATCGAGTTCCAAGAAACAATGTTTTTCAAAGGCATTTTGTTGAAGAGTTTAATGGCTAAAGTTGGATTACCACATTTGAGATACATATCAACTAAAGCATTACATATGTAGACATCGAAATTCAGATCATGATCATAGATATATTTATGTAATTTTATACCAAGATTAATGTCTCTCAACTTTGCACATGATGAAATCAAGATCACCATTGTCATCTCATCTGCTCTAACACCTGCTTCACACATCTCATAGAACACTTGCATTCCTTTTTCTAAACAACCCCTTTTCACATAGCCTTGAATCAACGTGGTCCAAGTCACTAAGTCTCTTTCAGGACTTTCATCGAACACCTTCTGGGCGTTTTCCATAGCACCACAAGCACCATAAAAACTGATCAATGTGTTCACAACGTATAAATTCAACACAAACCCGTTTTTAATCACGTGTGAATGTATCTGTTCGCCTTCTCTCAACGCGTAAGAAAGTGTGCACGACTTCAGGACATAAGGGTAGGTAAAACTATCCCCAATCAAGCCTTTCACAAGCAAATCACTGTAAAACAACAATGCGAACAGAGGGTTTTGATTCGAATGATTGAATGATCTTATGACGATGTTATACAGATCGATTGTTGGGTTCTCGAGTTTGTTGAAAAGAGAGTGGATGTAGGTGATATCAGGAACGTGGTTTGATGTTCTAGCAGAGATAGAGATGATTGTGGTGTACACCAATTGTTGGGTTTGGTGTGGTAATGTTGGAGATGTTTTGATGATGTAGGAATGGATTTGTTTGAGTTCTTTTAAGGATTTACAAGATTCAAGTTTGTGGATAATTGAGGAGTTTCTGGAATCGGTATCATGGGTAAGGGAGATGGAATAAGATGAAGGTGAAGGTGTAATGATATTCTCCATTTTAGAGAAGATTTTCCAGTGGACAACGATGATCAAAGGTTTTCAAAGATAAAGTGAGCGACATTTCATAGGTTTTATAGGGTGTGGGATTGAGTTTGAAATATCTTGGTTTTTAAAAGGGTTTTTACATAAAAGTATTTGGTAAATTTTGTGAGTTTTGAAATATTTTAGTGGTTTTTAAAAAAAAATTAACATAAAAGTCCCTACCACATTTTTTTTTTGTTCATTAAAGCCAAAAGTTTGCAATTTTATTTTCAATTTTACCTTTTTGTGTTATTCTAGTTCATTAAGGCTCTTAAGTTTGATATAAATATTCAATTTCAACTTTTTCTGGTTCATCAAAAAGTCGTTAAGTTTGGCATAAATGTTTGATTTTACTGGTAAATCTAAAAAAATAGTAAATTGAAAAAAAAAATTACAAACTTCTGATTTTAATGAACCAATAATTATTGTATTACAAAATATTATTTCTATTTCTTTATAAATATTAAAATTACATGTATATCAACCTCAAACTATAAACTAATATCTATATCCAAACTCATAATTTAAATTATGTTTAAGTTAATTTAATATATAAGAACTTATCTAGATATCAAAAGTCTATATGATTGTACTAAAATACACTTCCTAAAGTAAAGATTAAAATTAAACCTAATTAAATATTACAAGACTTCCTACACGTCAATAACTTTATGTCGTCATTCTTCTATCATCACAGCTATTAAGATCATCTTCGACTGTCAATTAAACCCACTTCTCCTTTTCTTCATTGCAACATGTATATCTCTTCTTCATTCGATTAATTTTTGTCCTACATTCAATTAATTTTTACATACGATTAATTGTTGGTAAATAAAATTCTGCATAGGGACATTTGGTGTAATCTTTTTTGCACATGACCTGTTTTATAATCTTTTCTACACAGGAACCTGTTTTGCGATTTCTTTTTTTTTTTTTTTTTGCATATGGACCATTTCTGTAATCTCTTTTTCTGCAGAGAGACATTTTCAGTAAGTAGGGACTATTTCTGTAAAAAAAAATGTTGCACAGGACCTGTTCCATAATCTTTTTCTGCATAAAGACCTTTCCTGTAATATTTGTGTTGAATAGGGACCTTTGGTTCCACCTAAATGTTTTTTTGATTCCACCTAAATGGAATTTAATGATCCATATCACCATATGTAACAACTAGGTTATAACCCGTGGAAACCACGGTGTTGTTTTTATAATCATTATATAGACAAAAAGTAAAATAAAATATCCACAAAAATGTAGTGTACATTTGATTGTAAGAAAACATGAAATAATGTGAAGTTTAATAAGTTACAACAATGCAATTTCAAAGTACATTGGTATAAGTTGTAAAACTGTTTTAGTTATGAAAAAAGGACTACAATATAAATGACGAAAAAAAAGGACAACAATGTACTTTCAAAGTACGTTGTTATAAGATACAAAAAGTATTATGTTGTTGTCGTATTTAAACATATAAAAATGTTTTTTTATGTTCTTCTTGTTTTTCCTTATTAGACACTGTACTTTGAAATATAACTCAAAAAATTTGACTAATTTTGGAATTCACAGTTTTTCATTTAATTTTGAATATGTTTCTGAAATATATTTTTCGTTTAACAGCAGCCTAAATTATAGCAATGTAAACTTATATGATTTTTCGTTTAATATCATCATACTTCCTATTTATGTCATATTATATGTATGTTTTCTGTAAATAAAAAGTACATTGGTATAAATCGACTAATTTTGAAACTCAGAGTGACATGCAATATAATTTTATAATTTTATATAAACGGCTCCTGTAATTTCAAAGTTAAGATAATCGTCCTTTTTTCCTAATAAGAAATAAATTGCAGCCTACTTTCATCTATAATAGTACTTTCGTTTAATAGCATCCTACTGCCTCATGTTATGCTCTATTCTCACTTTTAGCCATCCGTGCTTCCTCTTCTTCACCTAAGAGCTTGCTTCTTTAGCGTAACAGCCTCCTAATAAGCAACTTATATTTTACTGCTGTACAAAATAGACAGTAAAAACTAAGCTAATATAGGTAAAAATCAAAACACATTGCCCATTTTGATGTTATTGTAATTGTTCATCCCTTTTAGATTAAAATCACTTTTCTCCATTGCCTTTTTTGTCTCTATTCTCAAAAATCTTGTATGCAACCTTTTATGTCATGGTCCGGGTAGATATAATGCTTAAAATAACTAATGATCAGGTTTTGTAATAAGAAAATTAAAATAATGAGATATATCGATCCTTAAATGAAGTATGTTGTTTTGGTTTAGTTAAAGACCCAGATTTTGAGATAAGTGGGTGGTTGATCGGCAGCACGGACAACATAAAGTGAATTATAACATCCTTATGGCAACCTTACCAAGCCCATAGTGATAGCATAACTAAATTAAAGTTGACCAATAATGATTTCTAAAGCAGACAGATTTCATAAAAATACAAATTTCAAAAACGGATAAAAAAACACAACATGACCAAAGAAACCACCTGATGCTGAAACTTGATTTATTGCCAAGTATAATATGTTGAAATGTACAAATCTCTAATAATTTTCTAATGATAAAAAATAAAAATAAAAGCACTAAGCATAAAATAATAATAATAATAACAATAATACATATAAGTGGGAAATTATTTCTTACCAAGGAAATAAATTTTCATTTCAAGCACATTAGCATAGATTAGATCAACACATAATAAAAGAGACATGAACCAACATTGTCTTTCTTTCCCTACATAAGAAAGTAAAAAACAAACATCAATTTTTTACTCAATAACTTTAAATACCATAAAAATACTAAAAATGAGACAAAAATGTCTCCTAAAATTTGAAGGGTTCGACTAAATGAAAGACCTAAAACATCCACCTTAAGAAAGTTATGCCAACATGCAACGATTTTCCCAAATAGGCACTTATTTGTTACTTATTCAATAGAAAAAGAACTTTTAATTTACTTAGACATTTCATCAAACAGTTAATCTACGAACTTAAAACGTAAAAGTCATACCGATGATTTTCTTCAAACCTTCTAGCAGGTGTTATCTCCTAAGATTCCTAAAAGTATGCAGCAGGACTTCACCCTGACACTCAAAAAAGCGCATCATGAAACAAACGTATCATCATGAAACAAACGTAGTTCTAAGATGGTTAAAAGAAATGTAATGTCTTTTCTTCTTCTTTTGCCATCTTTGTTCCTCGGTAAGAAGACATATCGGTATGTGGAATGAAATATTTAAACCTGCTTTGAGTTTTATTATATTTCAGGATGGAGAGAGGATTAGAAACAGTGCTTTCGGATTCAAATTCTAAGAACAGTCATAACGATCAGAAAAATACATTTGACTTACATCTTCAAATACAATCACAAAATTATAAACCTGGGAAAACTAAATTCATAAATAAATGAGAAATCAAAAGACTTACATCTTAACTCTTAGTATTCAATGTAATATGCAAAATCGATTAACACAAGAAATGGGTCTTTGGATTCAAAGAAATTATCAAAAAACAAACAGGTGTTGTAGATAGTTCCTTATTGAACATTAACTGAGAGATGAAGAAACATATACTTTTTGCGCTTCTTCCCTAACACTGTACATGTTCAATTACTTCTTCATATTAATATCAAAACACCATATACATAGAATGGTTCACTTTAAAACCATGGATGGAATGAAAAAATTGTTTCACAATGTCACAAACACACACACAATAAGCCATACACACAGACCAGCAAAACAAATTAAGTACTTGATGGTTCCAATATTCAAATGTAACAGAAGAATAAATATTGAAACAGACGCAGAAAGTTCTCCCAAGATGGCAATGAAAGTGACAGTCTCTCCAATTCACGGAACAGAATTACTGAGGTATATAAGAAGGGAAATGATTAGGGAATCGGTTTAAAATTTTTGAAATAATATAATTTTGCTGATTTAATGCCTGATTGATTGGAATTAGTTAAATTTTTAATTTGAAGGGCTGATTTCTAGGAACAATTCATGGGCAAGCAATACCCGAGAATAAGAAAAGAGAATGTAGGAGAGGATGCCATGTGGCAAGGAGGGGTGTAGAAGATGACATGTGTCATATTTAGGTTTTGTTTATTAGAAGACTAGGTTACACTCCGTGGAAACCACGGGTAAAAGATATATAAAATTTTATTAAACTAAAGTTTTGTTTAAACTTTTATATTGATTATTTAAAATTTAAAATTAATATATAGTTTTATTTGAATATCCGATATTCTTTATTTATGTATGTGAAGACATTTAATATTTCTATGATTTTATAGAACATAATATAAATTTGAATAGAGTGTAAAAAACACAATTAATCATGGAAATGACATGCATGAAGAACCCTTGGGTATATAAATGTCTATTTTGTATGGGAAAAAATATAAAACCAACCAACTATATTCTTTGGAATTTAACCAAAGAAATAAAATCCGTCAATTCCTTTTTAACATTTAAAACAATTATTTTCGGAATTTGAACCCTTTTGCATATAAATGCTAATTTTTTACGGAGAAAAATATAAAACCAAACCATAATACCACACAGATTTGAACCACTGAAATTAAATCTGTCGATTCCTTTTATATTTTCGAAATTCCATAAATGCCCATGAAGTCTGTTGAGTAAATTAGTGGGCAATCTTCCATAATCCAATTGTAAAAGATCCAAAAAACACTAAGAACATGAATACACAAGATCTTTTTTCTAAGAAATTGAACTCTACCCTCTAGAAGATCAATCCACACCATCAGGTACCATTCAGAACAACTGAATCTTCTTCTTTTGACATTCTTATACCAACAGAAATGTAACATACACGTTTTGAAATCGTGTTATGTAATCCAAAAAGTTAAAAATATTATGAAATATTATGTGAAATTGAGTGTTGAGTTCTAACAGATAGTTTTTACTAGAAATGAAGTAAAATTATGTTTAGAATCACT